CTGCTTCTCACACAGTGATAGCTGGACATGGGCACTAGTGTCCCCTGTGATCCGAGAAGGAAGAAAAAGGTGAAAGATAATGGATAGGTGGATGGAACTTGGTGGTCGCATGGATCGTATGCTAGAGCTGTCCTTTCTAACCCGGGCCCGGCCTGGCCCGACCCGAAATTCGGGCCAGGTCGGGCCAAAATTAATGTGCTTGATGGGCGGGCCTGGTCAGTCTTTAGATACGGTTTTACGAATCATACAGCACCAAGAAAACTAAATGAGAATGTATGATACAAATTTGTGTTTATCTACTTGTTGAGGAGGAGGTAGGTCCGACCGGCCGGTTGAAAGGTATAAAAAAAATAAAATAAAAAAAAAATCCTGTTAAGCTCATGGATCAGCTGATCACCGGCCGCGTGCGTCTCTGCACCCTGCTGTCTACAGTGAAGGAAGTAGCAGCATCTACAAAACCCGAAGCGAGCAGCGCGTTCAATTAAAATAGGCTTGTTCTATATTTTTCCAAATAATTTTGCTCTAAAAATATTTTTTTGTTCATCTGTGTAATAGCCTATCTTTAGAGTTGATTTAAAAAAATAATAATTTAGGCTATTTGTTTAGTATGTTAATAACCATTTGATGAAACAAGAGATCTTATATATTCTTTTCTTTGAAATGCGTTTTTAAAGTATCATGTCAATCTGATTTGTTTGCAAACTAATTAAAAGCTTAATTAAAAATTTTTTCTTTCGGGTTCAGGCCTGTAATTACAGCTAAATGATTGGGTCTGGTTCAGAAAACAAAAAAAAAAAAACGCTTGGGCCGGGCCTGGTCGGATTTTTTTTTTTTTTTTTTTTTTAGGCCTGAATGCAACTCCATCACTTCATTGCAGCAGCACCAAAGCATTATCCAAAGAGGGCACCACGCCCTGTCAGTAGAACCGAGCACCCTGCCTACCGACATCCTAAGGTAGCAGTAGAACAAGACTTTTGTGAAAGGTAGCATTGAAATGTAAACATTAGCTTGATTTTAGTTTTTGGAGAAACTCTAAGCTAAAATCATCAAGCTCTAGTTGGTAAAACTAGTTGACGGCAAAAATGAGCAAAATCATAACTGAAAGCAAATCATTTGCGACATGATGGCTCAGAAATAACATTAGCTAAATTAAAACTGAAACATAAAATTACGAAAATCATAGCTAATAGCTTGAGTTAGCAAAACCATAGCTGAAGTGAAAAATTAGCGTAATTTTAGCTCAAAGCTAAAAGTAGGAAAACGGTAGCTTAAAACTAAAATGATCATAACAAAGCTAAAAGATCAAATTTCAAAACCATAGCTGAAGGCAAAAATTAGCTTAATCATAGCTCAAAACTAAAAGTATGAAACGTTTAGCTTAAAGCTAAAAGTAGTAAAAAAGCTTGCATGAGGAAAACTGTAAATTATAGCTAAAATTACGAAAACGGTAGCTTAAAGCTAAAATTATAACAGTTAAAAGATCACGATAGCAAAACCATAGACAAAAATTAGCTTAATAGCTTAAAGCTAAAAGTAGTAATAAATCTAAAGTGAGTAAAATCGTGGTTCATAGCTAAAATTAGAACAACAGTAGCTTAAATCTAAAATTAGTAATGGCTAAGCTAAAAGATTTAAAATGGCAAAATCTTAACTAAAAGCTCAAATTGGCAAAACTGTATTTAAAAGCACAAATTAACCAAACGGTTGCTAAAACACCAATTTAGTAAAACCATAGGGAAAAGCTAAATCTAAATAAAAGCTGAAACTGGCTAAGCTGTTGGTAAAAGCAGCATAAGAAGACTAAAACACAGCACGTATGCTGAAATGTTTTTAGAAGGAATTGGAGGATTTTTTTTTTTTTTTTATACGGTAAATCTTTGAGTGTAGTTAAATGTGTGAACTCTAAACGTAAAGGGGCCTCTGAGGGAGAGGTAAACGCACCTGCACCAAACTCTGCTTTGGCTTCTCGAGCCTTCAGCTGGTGATTTGGCTTCGATGGACGCCTCCAGTGGCAACAAGGCCCAACCAGTTGCGAGAAATGGAGCGGTGTTGGTGTGAACCGACTGAGCATGCTCCATGGAGACCCTTTTGGAGAGGCGAGCCGACAGAGGGAGCCAACAGGTCACATGACCGGCGAGGTGAATGTGCATGCGGGCGAAAGAAAAGGAAAAGAGGAGCAGTTTGTTCGGCACATTCTGGCGCTCTCTCCTCCCCCCTCTCCCATCCCTCTTCCTCTCAAACCCACTCTCCCTCCCTCACTCTCCCTCTGACGCCTTCTTCTCCTCAATGGAGGCCATGAGAAGAAAGCAGGTATGATGCTTCCTGGAGAAAAGACACGTTGGCTTCACTTCACTCTTGGTTGGCTGGAATTGGTTTGGTCTTCCTCACCTGCTCCTTTTCCATCTGTGGCCGTCTTGTCTTTCAGGTGCTCTCTTCAGTTTTTAGGATTCACTTCTCAGAAACTGCGCTCTTCAATTGGAAGTCTTTAATGTTGTTCAGTGTTGCCAGGGCTGTTCTGTCAACAGGACATCAAGAGTTCGATGTGTGGAGAGAACTTATCGGGGAATAACAAAGCAGCCATGTTCTGAACATTTACTGCATGTCGGGAAGATCTCCCGAAGTCACTGCAGCCTCCTGGTGCTTTCTTCCTCTTTCATATCATCTGCGTTTTGGCCCGTTTGAATGTTATCATCCATGTTTTACAAGCTTTGTATTTGAGTAGGCCTGTCCATCTGTTCATTTATGTCTGTTGGAAAATGTCTCATAAACCAATGAATGGATTTGAATGAAACTCTGACTCTAATCACTGGATATACATCTACAACTAATTAACCTTTTGGAGTTGACCTTAAATGCGATGGCAGCCACTTTTAATCGACCTTAACGAAGGAAAAAGGGCTATAACGCAGTCAGTTTGACCAATATTCAGCTAAGATTTGGTGTGGTTGTAGCTGAGCCTGATGCCCAACACATAATCTGAGCACCAGCAGGGTAAGCTGGTGTGCAAGGCGGTTTACAGTACGTGTTGGTGTTCCTTCAATTAATGCTAGTTGCATCAGAAATTTGACAAAACACATTTCTATAATTGTGCTTGTCTTTTGCAGATCTTTCACGTAAAGCTGGAGATTGAGGTTTTTTTTGTTTTTTTTTGTCGTAGTTCGATTTAGTTTTTTCTGTAGTTTGGCTTTTGAAGGTTGGAGATAAAGGATGGCACTGCAAACAAGACTGAATATTCAAGTTCCTGGAAATAAAAACCCTTTGTCGTCTGTCTTTGTCGGATTGACGGCTTCTTATCATGCGGTTGTGTAAGGGGTTGAATTTCAGACCAGTAAGATAACGGATCGTGTCATTTCCTCAGAACCCATTGAAGGCAAGAAAGAAAGTCATTTGGCTGTTGCTCCTGCTGGTGTAAAGTCTGCTTGTGTGACGCCCTGTGTTAGGTAGCTCTGGTTTGTTTTCAGGTCTCTTGGAACAGATCTAAAGATAGGCCACATTAACGTGAATGCCCAGACCTTCACATACCAGGTCCACACGAGACAGTGAGGGATTGAACCAGGAACACCAGGAGCCTTTTCTCCACAACATTCACATTTCTGTACAGAGAAATCTGAATCTGTGTATTCTGAAGCCGTGGCTGCAGCTTCGGCCCAAGTCTAACATCTTTTTTTAATGTTTTTAATGAGTCATTTAAGGTTGGTGTTCGTGTCTTAAAGCTTTGGCTTCACATTTGGAGCTTTGTTCAGTATCCCCCATCCACAGTCCTCAGACCCATTCAATCCCCATCTAGTGGAAAACTGCTGCAATGGCCGTGCTGTCAGTAAACAGTCTGGTTGCGAAATGGCGGCAGAGATCTGCAGGCAGCTTTCTCTGCCTCCCTTCCCCCATCTCTCCTTTCTGTCTTCAGTGTCGGTTCCAATGTCCACCGCTAGGGGGAGGGAAGAGAAGAGGCTGGTGTTTTGTTTTCAGTTGGCTTTGCTGTCAATAAAAAGGGAAGCTGAAAGGTTCCTCCTCCTCTGCACGCTCACAGGTCTTCCTTGTGGCACCACACAGACTGGTTGGTCTTTGGGAAATGGCCTCAGTTGCTGTTCCAGCAGATCAGTTGACCTGATTGACAGGGTGCTCATGTCTCCAAAGCGCATGCTCGAAGGGTGATTCATTGAAGGTTCTTTAAATGTGGGGTCTCGGTTGCATGCAGGCTCTCACCGTGTGGTAAATCAGAGGAGACCGTGGGGCTCAATCAGCTTTCGGTTGGCTCTGCCTCCTTCAGTGTGCACGACTGGGGAAGAACACCTGCTTTGCACTTCTCTCTAGATGTGACCCTCCCTGCCCCCTTGTTCAGTTCACGTGTCTGCGTAACGGCCTTTATTCTGCCGGGAACAAGCCTCACATGAGGCGGAGACGACTTGTTGTTCACTGGACGTTGTTCCAGGTCAGAGTGATCTGCCTCCTTTTGATTGTTACCTGAAAACGCAGCCAAAGATGGAAGAGGGAGACGAAGCGTTGCATGTGTTCACGCCGTCTTCCATCCCTCCTCAGATCCTCCAGGGCTGTTTTTCCCCTGAAGGTTTGACAGTGTGCTCAGGTGGTGTTGCATTTCCTGTTTGTTCCTCTTAAAAGTAGCAAATGACTGATGGGTGACGGATTTCTTTTGAAACTGCTTTTTAGAAAAATGACAATGGAAGTTGAAGGGGTAGCTCCATTTTCCTGTCTTACCGTGCAGTCTCTCTCTAAAAATGACATCATGGAAAAAGCACAAAGAAAGTGGTTATTACAGAGTTTTCAATGCATAAAGGGACCGATTTGCTAATAAATTAACCCAAATGATGAGCCCAGGACTTGTTTCAGGGTTGATTTTGTATTGAGTGTTTTCAGATGTCAAAGCAGTCCTTATTTAAATATACCTTAAGCTTTATTTGACTTGTTGAACAAAATAACTGGATATATAATCCATTATTCTGCTAAATAATATAAATAATCTTAAATGTCTGTTCTTTCATCAGCCCGCTGGTCTAGCCGTGGATAATGTTGCATCCTTCAAAAAGGAGGAACTCGATCCTCCAATCGGTGAAGAGGAGCAGACAGGTAAGAGTTCAGATGAACATCGAGGGTTTGTTCACGTTTTATTCCCTTGTAATCATTTTGTTTCTGTTGACCAGACGGAGACAGAATGGTAGCGGCAAAGCTGGCCTCTCCAGTTGCAGCAGAGGCGATGCTCAACGGCACCGACTGCGACGACACGACGCACAAGAACCTGCTGACGAGCAACAATAAGACTGTTCCGTTGCTGAATGAAAATGGCACATCAGACACGGAGCCCCCGCACGCTTCTGTTACCGGAAGCAACGGATTAATTCTCACTAAGCAGCCGCAGGAAGCTGCGGGTTCGGGAGTTTCCCCTCACAGGACTAACGGGTCGCCTTCGGGCTCGCCGGCCGGGGATCAAACAGCCAAACCCCTCCTCGACGCCTCGGCATCAGCAGGGGGTGCGCCGAGTCCAGGTGCTTTAAGGACTGCCCCTAGTACTGGGACTTTGTTGGGACAGGGGACATCGGAGACTAAAAATAGCCCCGCTTCATCTCCTGTCTCGACTTCAGCGCCCGTTACCGTGCACAGAGCCCGAAAGACCATGTCCAGACCTGCGGTCAGCCCGGCTCAGAAGGTAGAGATTCTCTTTTACATCGCATATAATCTCACTTAATCTCAAACGTTAACAATTTAATGTCTTGCAAAGATTTCCAGCCACATTTTTTAATAATATTTAACCAACTTCTGCAGAAAAATGGAAGGAACTCGCTTTAACCTTCTGATGGAGCGTCTAACTCATTCAGATCAGTTGGGGTTAGATATGAACCGAAGGCGCAGACAACTTGTTAGTTTCTTCTTGTATTTATGAGTTTCGTTCACCATGACTGAGAAATATAGTTTTTCTGGTTGATGTAGCTAGTGTAAAGCTACAGCGTGATTGTGAGGCGAAGAAACGAGTTTTCCTTTAGTTTCCCGCTTCATCTACAAGATCAAGTCTGGTTCTTTTCCGTCTCGGCATCGTTTATACAAACAGTTTTAAAAAGACACGTCTGTTGAGTTGCAGAAAACTAAAATATCTACATAACAATAAACCCAAAGAAAGACTAAGCTCGTTTAAAACTCCGTCCATGGTTAAAGTACAGAAGTTGAGCTGTAAATAATAAAGCGTGCCGTGAGATGGAGACTACGACCGACTCGTGCTCGTGTTTACACGCGCAGCAGGACTCTGTTGTTGTAATGTGATGTTTTCAGTGTTAAAAAGTGATTAAATTTAGAATAAAATAAATCCCAATTGCAATTTTATAGTAAATTATCTAATCTGTTAATTGCCTTTTCCAGTTGTTTTGCTTTTAATAAAGTTAGAAAGCTTTGTTTTCCATACGAACCTGCACACGTGGCTGTGTTGTTGTTTATGCGTTACATTTGCAAACCTTTGATTTAAAGACGTTTAAATTTGATCTGCCTTCAAAGTCTTGAAGACATTCAGCTGCAGTCAAAAGCTTTGAGTCACTTAAGTCGTTCATTTGGGCTTTTAATGATTTATTTGAACTGTTACTTTCTATAATCTATAATTTATCAATAAAAATGGCAACACGTAAACCAGTACTATGAGGAGTTGCAGTGCTTGTTGCTGACTACAGAACTTGGACCGTCCAAACGGACTCCTATTTAAGAGCTTGGACACTCCCAAGTTCTATGAAAAAGCACCTCGTCCAAGTAAAGTTGAAGCAAACTGATGGACAATGGAAAAACAGCTAAAGGTTCCAGAAGGTTTATTTATTTATTTTTTAAATTGAACAAAACCCAGGTCTGTTAACCCGTTGGTGAGCGTGACCACACGCAGCTGGTGGTTTTTCTTTTCTCAGCATAAAAATGAATGACGGCACTCTTTGGATTTACCGACACTCATCTGTCACCATCAGATGAAGGAAATGGGTAAAAATCTTCAGGGATGACTCGGGGAACCACCAAGGTCCAAACGAAACCGCAGTGACGCCAGTTTCACATCGCCATGAACTAAGAGGAGCAAGGAAGAAGCCCCGCCTCCAAAAGACACAACTATGAGTTCAATGGACGAGCCAAACGTCTCCTGGGGAAAAGGTGACGGGCGGGACAGAGTCGGAATTTTAAACCTAAGAACGTTGTACCAATGTCGAGCATGGTGGTGGTAGCATCATGCTATGGGGCTCAAGTGGACGACTACCTACAAAGGACCATTTACCAAATGTTAGTCGGAGTGTGTGAACGTATATTAGTCTGGATTTTGAGTTGAGTGCGGATCAAAGAAATCCTCAACAAATTCAAATTTACGAACCGAATTCTTGTTTTTTAATTTGAAGTTGTCCGTTGTTTAATCTTTCCACCCTGGAAAAAACTAAAACGTTTAAAATAAATAATTGAAAGCCCAAAATAAAATAAATAAACAACAGAGCTGATGGAAACTTCTGACCACGACTGTAGGTCTGGTGAACGTGTTGTGTAAAATTTATCTTCGCTCTATGTAGCAAAAACTAGATGAGGTCCAAAAGTGGCAAAAGGCTGGCTAAAAGCTAAAATGTAGCAAATGACTGATTCATAGTTAATAGTATAAAAAAACTAGGCGAAAGCTAAGTGACTAAAGGCTAGTTACAAACAAAATGCAGAACACAGGTTAACGTGTACAACGAGTAAAGCGCCAACTAAAAGGCAAAAGAAACCAAACATAAGCTAAATGCTCAAAGCAGCAAAACACTAGCTAAATGTTGCAAAAAAGAAGCTAAAGTTTTTGGGGAAAAAGGATTTAATAAAACATTTGCCCACATTTATTTCATATAACATGTATGCAGACAGGTTTTTTTTTTTTTACATCTGTGCAGCATATCATTTGAATTAATCATCTAAAAGTAGCAAAAAGCTAGCTCAAGGCTAAAAGTAGAAGAAAAACTAGACGATGCCTAAAGTCACAAAATGCTGGAACAAAGGTAAAAGTTGCAAACAGCTTCTTAAATGTAGCAAAACAATCACTTTTAACAAAAAGTGACAAATGCCTAGGTAAAAGCTAAAACAGAAAACTAGACGGCCTAAAAATGTAAAGTCTAGCTTTAAGCTTAAATAAAAATCACAATCTAAAAGTAGCTGAAAACTAGATGAAACTTAAAAGTAGCAACGGGTCTAGTCAAAAGCTAAAAGTAGTGGTTGAAAGGAAGAAAAACGTATTTAAAGTCCGAGAAGCAAAAGTCTAGCTTAAAGCTAACGGTTTAAAACACTAGCTAAATGTAGCAAAATATAGGTTTAAGCTAAATCTAGCAAAACTAATATTCTAATATTATTCTTATCTATATTATTCTAATATTACTATTATTATCCCACCACATGTGGTGTGAACGAAAATAAAGAATTTCTGACTAATATTAGTAAACGCCTGGCTAAAAGTAGCTAAAAGCTAAAAAATATCAAAGGAGGAGCGAGCGAGTCTGCCGAAGCAGGTTTTACGGAGGTGTGTGTTTGTAGGAACTGAAGAGACGTGGTCCTAAAGTCTTTGTGTTCTTGTTGCCTGCAGCTCCTGAACAGAGAATTAAGACAAGCAAAGAGTGCCAAACTGGAGTCTCAGCTCGTGCCGGACGTTCAGAGTTCCTCGCAGCCGCCATCCGTTCTGAACCATCTACCTCTGAGCCCACCAGACAGGCCCGCTTCAGCGCAAGCGGCTTCACCAGCAGCTCCTTCAGCTTCACCAGCTCCTGCCAAGCTCCATTTAGGTGAGACACGAACGACTGACTTCACCGCTGGGATTCAGAATCCAACGCGTTTGGATGTGACGGCGCGTGGTGTTTTCTCCCGCTGTAGGACCGTACGCCGGTGGGTTTTCATCTCGGAAGAAGAGGAGGAGGATGGGAATGTACAGCCTGGTGCCCAAGAAGAAAACCAAAGTTCTTAAGCAAAGAACCATGCTGGAGATGTTTAAGCAGCTACAACAGTCTGCGAAGATCCCACAGGTCTGGGCTCCTCATTTATTAAAGAAATACCGTAATTTCCGGACTATTGAGCGCACCCGAAAACAAGCCACGCCCACAAAATTAAAAATAAAACTCGTACATGTATAGACCGTGATGGTCTATAAGCTGAGGGTGTCCACGTTGTAATGAGATATTTACACACATTATTTTTTTAAACTTTTGTTAATTCTGATAAATGAATAACAGTAACATAAACTAATACGTACAGTAAATTTTATTTTTCTCAACAGTACCTGTAACACGGCTTGTTAAAAAGTAATAAATACAGTAGCCTACCAGGAAAAGTCACTGATCGCCGTCTTCTCGCCGCCGTCTCGCCATCGATTCGTTGGCGCCAAGCTCACGTGCAGCAGCTCCGTTTCCTCCTTCGGCAGATCGAGCGCCTTTAACTTGAAAGAGCAAAATAACCGATCTGAAGATTAGTGCGAGTGCGTTTGAGTTACGGTAATTCAAAGTTTCATTGGTGACCTGTTCAGTCATTTCACTGGGCTGATTTTTTTAAAATTTATTTTATTTAAGCCTTTATTTATACAGGCAGTCTCACTGAGTCACGAGGACCGACATCCCAACAGAGACGTGTGTTGTGCAGCTGTGTGAGCGCCCGGTGTGACGAGGCTAAATGTTGTAACGGCTTGAAGCTCGTTAGCCCGCCAAACAAAATATCCATAAATTATCTGCAGCATTGTATAAACAACGAGGTTCAAAGCGTGTGGAAAAAGTAGCAGCTTATAGTCCGGACATTACGGTAGTTCAGATTCTTATTAGGCGCCCATCGAAAGACGAATGCACGGTTTAGTCTCCAAACGTGCGCAAACTTTCTCTCGTTTAGGCGATAACTTTATACATTTATGCTTCATCACTAGACAGTGTATTGTACACTTCTCATCACCCCAGCTCCAATGTCAAGGTCACAAATCAAGGTCAGAAGTCTTTGCTTGTCCGGGCCATTGCTATAGTTTGTCGATGGGTTTGAGTCGTGTGAGGAACTCTGGTTGGAATAAGGAACGGTTGATTCTGACCACCTCGGTCTCAGCGTTTGATTTGCTTTGAACCATGTTTTGATACGTTTCCCGCCGTCCAGGTGAAAGAGGTGGCAAATGTAAACGGGGAGAAGGTTGGAAACAGATCTGAGGAGGAAGAGTCGGAAGAGGCGGAGTCTGAGGACGAAGAGCGGCGGCGGCAGCAGCGAGCTGGAGAACCTGCTGCTGCCGTCCAGGAAACATCTGGATCCATGAATCAGGTGGGAGTGGAAACTTTGTCCATCTTGTCTTTAAATTCTCCTGACGGGTCGAGGTTGTTTTTTTAAGTGTCCAACTTCAGAGTTGTTTTGTTTTGTTGTGCAAATGTTTAGTAATTTATCTGTTTTTAAAATGCTGCTGATCTTATTTTTGGTGAAGGATGATCAGGAGTCTGACGAGTCTGACGAAGAGGAGGGCGCAGAGTCCGACTTGGTAAGACCTTCTTACCGTCTTCTGTCCAGAAACGTAACTCTCGTCTGTCGTCTGAGGACAAAGCAGAAGTTCTGAATAATCTCCCGTCTGTCCGCCTCAGAGCACCGAGTCCGCTCTGAAGAAGCTGAAAAAGAAGGCGAAAGCCGACAGCGCTTGGCTCCGCCCCTCCAGGAAACGGAAAAGGAGGATGATCAGCAAAGGTTAATATTCTTAACGTATGCAACTTTTCTCTAAAACTGCGGCGCGTTTCCTTACCGGTCACTGCTTGTGTCCAGAACCGGAGACGGAAGTTCAGCCTCAGACTTCAGCTCACTCGGACAAACAGGATCTCCCGTTCGAGTCGCCCAGTCTCGGCAAGACGTCTCCCAGTGACGGTGAGCTCAGCAGAAAGCAGCAGACCAGTTCAATCTGTTTTTACGACACGCTGAGGTGTTCCTTCAATGCAGCAGAGCTCAAAAATAACACTTTTATTATCGTTTTTATAGTTTTACTTCATTCTGTTTCTTGATTTTGGCCCATTTCAAAAGTCTTGAAGGAGTTGCTAAACAAAGCATCGAAAGAATAATGGCAACATTTTTTGGACAACGGAGGAACGTAATTAGACCTAAAGTTTACATTTTTTTCCAAATGTAATCGGCTCTACCTGGGCATGAAGCGCATCCGTTACCAGGACAGTGTAACCAGTGAAATAACTTGTCAATAGTTGCGTATTTTCTGCCGTACATGTCGCATCAGTTCAAAAATGTCTAATAAAGTGGAAGAAAAAAAAAGTTGCTTCACCGTATACGTCGCATCTGTCACCGCTGACAACCTGGAAACGTGGGCCGGTGTTGTGCCAAAAATCGATTGGCTGCCAAATGACGGCCGCGGGAGCGTGCACGGGAGGACTTTAACAAGATTAACACTTAAAACAATTATTTGTTTGCTTGAAATTATAGTAAAGGTGTGTCTCAGTCTAACTTTTCCTTAATAAATGCACTTTTAACAGTCAAATCAGCTGCGCTTCTGGGCGGCGCGGTGAAATGCAGCTGATTTGACGTTTTGCTCAAGGAGTTCTGGAGCGAGATGAAGGTGGCTCTGTATGGCAAGCCAAGTGGCTCATTAATAGGTTGAGACACTTGGCTTGCCATATTATTTGAGCGCCCTCTAGTGGCTGAAAATGGTAGTGTTCAATATTTTCCATGTCGGACTGAATAAAATCATCTGATCTCGGCCACAAATGTGGTTATAAATATGGTAAAAAAAACATAAATGCGTCGCTTTGCTGTATAAGTCGCGGGCATGCTAATTTATGTAAAAAGGTGTGACTTATACGCCAGAAAATACAGTATTAAATTTTTAAACCTGTCAATCTCTGTGGTATTCCTAGCATTGAATATCACAGACCCTTGTGTAAGCATTTGCCCAGACTTCCTCAGATTTTCTTTTAAACACTCGGATGTGTTCAAATTAAAGTGTTACAGTTAAAGAATAAAAACCATCCAAACCAAACAAAAGTTTTTGTTTTGACCCACAGCTGTTTCGATTGTTTCAGCCATTAAAGAAACCCTTATCAGTAGTTTATTGATAGGGTCGTACTTTCAGCCTGGTTATTCTTTTTAAACCGAACGGGATTCATTAAAGCACGGGCTGTTATCACCTTCAGACTGAGACACAATATGTTTTCTGCTGCAGACAGACTGACGGACTTCGTTTGTGACCACGTCAACGAGTCATCGGAGTTTTGAGTGACCAGCTTTGAAAACTCTCGAGCTGTTTTTTTTGTGAGCACCGCTTATAAAATTAATTATAATCTATACAATAACATCATTATGGCTCATTTTGAGGACATTTGGACGCACCATGTGATGCGAGTCCTGCATCTGGCCTCAGTGTCAAACTGACTGAACAGGTTTTTAAATGCATTTGTTTTTATACACCTGTTGAAAGGTAAAGGTACAATCTAAGAAAAAATCTCTTCTGGCTTTTCATAAGTCATAATTTAATTTGTTTTATCTCCTCCAGCTCCTTATACAAACGTGTGCCCGCCATAACTCTTTAAAACTTTTTCTTTGTTCTCCTCGGCAGCCACCTCAACAGTTATGATTTTATTTACTGGAATAGACTTTAGAAAGGAAGATCTTCAGATTTTAACCAGTTTATCAGTATTTATTATCAGCGTGTTTTAGAGCTGGACTTCTGCCTCGGATGTTTTCCGTCAGAGGAGAGCTGCCTGCAGGCGTCACCTTTAGTGCTTTGGAGACAATTTGGAGGCACTTGGAGTTTTAGGCCGGTTGGAGAAGCCTATGAAGACTTTGATCATTTTGATCGCGAAAATATTTTGAACCTGTTCCAAACTCAAGTGATGAGGCTGTGAACCTCTGAGACTCGGGAGTTGAGAGTCCCACCGAAGTTTCAAGACCTTCTCACGATTATTGTTCACCAGCTACTATCAGTCATTCTTTAAAAGGTCCTTACTGGACTGTCTTTGATTAAAACTTTTGAATTTAAAAGTTTTGAATTCAAGAAGTTAATTTGGTTTCTTTTCAGAGACTTCAGTGTCAGCCATCGAGGAGTCTCAGGAGCTCCCGCTCTGCAGCTGCCGCATGGAGACGCCGAAAAGCCGAGAGATCCTCATCCTGGCAGACAGGAAGTGCATGGCCACAGAGAGCGTCGACGGGCAGCTAACTCGCTGCCAAAGCGCCGTCTTGAAGCACGAGATGATGCGTCCCTCCAACTCCGTTCAGCTGCTGGTTCTGTGTGAGGACCACCGCAGCGGCATGGTGAAGCACCAGTGCTGTCCCGGCTGTGGCTTCTTCTGCAGAGCGGTGGGTCTTCGCACGTTGTAACTTCTCCGTTCCGTCGCTGACTGTGGGTCAACTTTGCGTTCTCTTGTTTTCCAGGGAACCTTCATGGAGTGCCAACCAGACATCTGCATCTCGCACCGTTTCCACTGGGCCTGCGCCTCGGTGCTGAAAGGTCAGAGTTTCTGTCCTCACTGTGGAGAAGAGGCCAGCAAAGCCAAGGAGGTCACCATCGCCAAGGCTGACACCACCTCCACAGTTCCTGAGGCCCTCGCACATGGTCCGGCCACGCCGGGGGCCTCCGAGGGCCGGGCGGACACGACCACCGGAAGGTAACGTACCATCTGCTTTAGGCGATCTTCAGGACTCAGAAGTAAACTCACGAGCTCTTCTCTTTGGATTTCAGCTCTTCTTATTTGGCTCCAGTGGCTGAAGTCAGCGGCAGGGCCGACAGTTCGCTCTCCGTACGTTCGTCCTCCTCTCATGAGCTCGACATCTCGGCTGTTCCCGGGTCGTCCAGGACCACCTCTCTGCAGGCCGGGACGGGAACCACAAGCCCTCCTGCGCTCCTGTCGGGAGCACCGAGGGAAACTCTGGAGAGCATCCTGGCTGCTCTGGACATGGAGAAGTAAGCTTGACCGCTGCAGAGTCACACTTTGTTTTATTTTATATACACAATAAAAATATAAACGCAACTCTCTTTTGTTTTTGCTCCCGTTTTTCATGAGCTGACCTCAAAGATCTAAGACTTTTTCTAAAATATCTTTTTCTCTCAGATCTTGTTCATAAATTAGTGTAAATCTGTTAATGAGCACTTTTCCTTTGCTGAGATGATCCATCCACCTCACAGGTGTGGCATATCCAGAGGCTGATTAGACAGGATGATTGTTGCACAGGTGTGCTTTAGGCTGACCACAATAAAAGGCCACTCTGAAATGTGCAGTTTCATCACAGCACAGTGACACAGATGTACGTTTTGAGGGAGCGTGCAGATGGCATGCTGACTGCAGGAATGTCCACTGATTCGATGTTCGTTTCTCTACCGTGAGCCGTCTCAAAGGTGTTTCAGAGAATTTGGCAGTACAACTAACCGGCCTCACGATCACAGACCACCTGTAACCACACCAGCCCAGGACCTCCACGTCCAGCATCTTCACCTCCAGGATGGTTGGAGACCAGCCACCTGGACAGCTGCTGCAACAATCTGTTTGCATGACCAAATAATTTCTGCACCAAGTGTCTCACCAATCATCTGCATGCTGGGCGTCCTCATCGGGGCCTCCACCTGACTGCAGTTCATCGTAACCGACTTGAGTGGACAGATTTGATGATGTATGGCACGTTGGAGAGGTGTTCTCTCCACAGGGAACATGGCAGACTGCGTGGCACCTTGTGAATGAGCAGATTGCTGATGTCAACGTTGTGAACAGAGTGGCCCATGGTGGCGGTGGGATTATGGTATGGGCAGGTGTTATGGACAATGAACACGGGGGCTGGTGTGGTTACATGTGGTCTGAGGCCGGTTGGATGTGCTGCCAAATTCTCTGAACATGGACATTCCTGCAGTCAGCATGCCATCTGCACGCTCCCTCAAAACCTGCAACGTCTGCGTCACTGTGCTGTGATGAAACTGCAGATTTTAAAGTGGCCTTTTATTGTGGTCGGCCTAAAGACCTTTTAGAAAAAGTCTTAGATCTTTGAGTTCAGCTCATGAAACATGGGAGCAAAAATAAGTGTTGCGTTTGTGTTTTTGTTCAGTGCAAATGACAAAAACTAATTATTTTTTTCTTGTTAGACCTAAGAAACTTCGCTTTCACCCGAAGCAACTTTATCTCTCGGCCAAACAAGGAGAGCTGAAGAGGGTGGTGCACATGCTGGGTACGTCAAACCTTCACCCTCAGATCTTCATCTTTTCCTCGACAGACGTTCTTCTGATCTTTTAAAGTGATTTGAGCAACGATTAAAGCTTTTGAAGATCTTTTTTGTGTGTTTTGGGGGGGACTTCCGCTTCTTTTTGTAACTATTTTAGTCTACTACTGTAGTTTTCGGCCTACAGGTCGCTTTTTTTTGCATAGTTTGAGCACCAGCCCTCACAATCACTGTTGTCTGCCCCGTCCTTCATCTCCGCAGCTATCTTGCTGGCTTTTGCAGCAGTTCCAGCATTTTTTTCTTTTGCTTCGTTTTTTTTAATGGGGCTGGAGCCCCCTGCTCAATCTCTTGTAAAGGGGCTGGGCCCCCCTGCTGCATCTCTTGTAAAGGGGCTGGGGCCCCCTGCTGCATCTCTTGTAAAGGGGCTGGGGCCCCCCTGCTGCAT